ATAAAGAAAGAGAGCCCGAAAGAAGGAAAGAAAGAAAAATTAGAAATTTGGCAAAGACAGAAAGATGAAGAGTGAGTGACAAAAATATATAAAAAAAAGTAAGAAAGAAAGAAAAAAGAAAGAAAGCGAAAATGAAAAAATAACAAAGAAATGGATGTATAAATAAAAAAAAATATATTGAGACAAGACGAAGAAATTAGGTTATGACATAGAAGGAAGGGTGAGAGGAAAGAAGAAGAAAAAAATGAAAAGAAAGAAAGAAATAAGGCTGTGACTGAAAAATAAAATGAAAGAAATAAGAAAAGAAAGAAAAGGAAAAGGATTACTTACACTCTGACTGAAAAAATCGATCAATCCATAAATAAATAAAGAAAGGAAGAGATTTAATTACGATGTGGCTGAAAGAAAGAAAGAAAGAAAGAAAGAAAGAAAGAAAGAAAGACAGACAGAAAGTAAGAAAAAGAAAAATGGATTTAATTACACTGTGGTTGGGGAAAATAAATAAATAAATAAATAAATAAAGAAAGAAAGAAAGAAAGAAAGAAAGAAAGAAAGAAAGGATGGATGGATTTAATTCACTGTGACTGGGGGAAAAGACAAAGAAAGAAAGAAAGAAAGAAAGAAAGAAAGAAAGAAAGAAAGAAAGAAAGAAAAAGAAAAATGGATTTAATTACACTGAAACTGGGGAAAAATCAAAAGAAAGAAAGAAAGAAAGAAAGAAAGAAAGAAAAAGAAAATGGATTTAATTACACTGTGATTGGGGAAAAATCAAAGAAAGAAAGAAAGAAAGAAAGAAAGAAAGAAAGAAAGAAAGAAAGAAAGAAAGAAAGGATTCAATTACACTGTGACTGGGGAAAAAGACAAAAAAGAAAGAAAGAAAGAAAGAAAGAAAGAAAGAAAGAAAGAAAGAAAGAAAGAAAGAAAAATGGATTTAATTACACTGAGACTGGGGAAAAATCAAAGAAAGAAAGAAAGAAAGAAAGAAAGAAAGAAAGAAAAAAAGAAAAGACAAAAAGGAAAGGATTTATTTACACCGTGACCAGGAAAAGCAAATGCAAGAAAGAAAGAAAGAAAGAAAGAATGAAAGTTTTGAGAAGAAAATAATCTAAACAGATGTATTTGAAACCTAATAAAAGAGAATGAATGAAAATATTTTGGCCTGTGAGAGAAAAAAAAAACTGATTAATGAGTTAAGATTTTATTTGAAGTAAACGAAAAGGAAAAAAAAAAACGGCAAGTCGATGTTTTGACGTCGATGGCATGGGTTTCATTATTGACTCCAGGAAGGGATGAATCATTTCCGATGCACCCTATTGATTTCAAATAATCAGATAATAAGTAATAATTACCCCGTTCTATTTAGCGTCAGTCTTATTTACAAATGGCCGCGGCTGTTTTACCCTCTCCCACCCTCGGCGCTTTATCTTTGGGGGTTAAAGTTGTTTCGATGATTGTTTTGGAAACTGAACAACGTCATGTCTATTGCACTTGAATGGTTTGTAGAAAGAAAGAAAGAAAGAAAGAAAAAAGAAAGAAAGAAAGAAAGAAAGAAAGAAAGAAAGAAAGGTATGTCAAATATAGTGAGAAATTCCGCTGACAGAGAGGGGAAAAAGAAAGAAAAAACATAGAGTAAGACTGACAGACAGAAAGAAAGAAAGGGATTTATGAAAAAAAATATGCTGAGAAATTGGGGGTAGTAAGACATACAGACAGACAGACAAAGAGAGAGAGAAAACAGTTATGAAGAAAGATAGAAAAATAGAAAGAAAGAATGTATGACAGACAAAAACAAAGTGATTTATGGAAAATATAGTGAGGACTCTGCTGACAGTGGAAGAAAACAGACAGACAGAAAGAAAGAAAGAAAAAAAAAAGAAAGAAAGAAAGAAAGAAAGAAAGAAAGAAAGAAAGAAAGAAAGAATTGTATGAACAATAGAGAGAGAATAAAGCTGAGCCAGGCTGGAGAAATAAATAAATAAAGAAAGAAAGAAAGAAAGAAAGAAGGAAAGAAAGAAAGCGATTTATGAAAAATATAGTGAGAATTATGCTAAAAACAATGGGATATTAGGTCAAGCTGACAGGTAGACAGACAGGTAAAAAGATAGAAAAACAGTCATAAAGAAAGAAAGAAAGAAAGAAAGAATGAAAGAAAGAAAGAAAGAAAGAAAGAAAGAAAGTTGCAGGAGGGTGGTGAAAAGAAAAGAGGAATATATCACAAAGAAAGAAAGAAACAAGCAAACCAACAAAAAACCAAAGAGATTTATGAAAATATGGTGAGAATTACGTTGAAAGAAAGAAAGAAAGAAAGAAAGAAAGAAAGAAAGAACGAAAGAAAGTGAATTATGAAAAATATAGTGAGAATTATGCTAAAAACGCGGGGATATCAGGTCAAACTGACAGGTAGACAGACAGGTAAAAAGACAGAAAAACAGTCATACAGAAAGTAAAAAAGAAAGAAAGAAAGTTGCAGGAGGGTGGTGAAAAGAAAAGAGGAATACATCACAAAGAAGGAAAGAAATAAGCAAACAAACAAACAAAAAACCAAAGGGATTTATGAAAATATGCTGAGAATTACGTTGAGAGAAAGAAAGAAAGAAAGAAAGAAAGAAAGAAATGGATGTAATTATGTTGAAACGGAAAAAAACAAGAAATTTCAAGAAAGAAAAAATTGAGAAGGAAATCGTAAAAAGTTGTTAGTGACGCATTTTTTGCCATTTAGTTCATCGTTCCATCTCCATCTTTGATTTTTTTAATAACGGTTTTTTCTCATTTGTATTGTTTGTTCTTTTATATTAAATTCTCATCTTAAGAATCGGGTCATGTTTTTCTTTCTTTTCTCCCTTATTGTTATTTAAGTACCGATAAAATAACCTTGTCTTCCTAATAAATATTGATTTATTTTCTGATCACAAGCCAGGTTTATCTTTCTCTTTATCAAACCCATTCTAGTGCAAACATCATAGACAAGAGCGATTGTAGTGTAAAAACAACAATGAGGCCAGGTCCCCTTCACACTGATGTTTCAATAACTACCCTACGTTGCGTTTCCATTCTCGATCCTGTTAGTGTGCACCAAAGTCAGGGAAGGGTCCACTGCGAGCTCACAAGGCAACAAATAAAAAGAGAAGAAACACAGCAACGGTTATTAAGAATAAGAAATTTCAACTGTTTCATTTAGGGCTCCGTTTGCTCAGTCTGGGTGGATAGGTTAGTGAAACTTGAGAAAACTTCTACTCTGTTGGACTACTACTCCAGATCTTCTCTTCGACTCTTCTTCTTCCTTTGTCAATAAATTGGCTCTTCTTTCAATTTTTATTCAATAAATTGGCTCTCCATTCAATGTTGTCAATAAATTGGCTCTCCTTTTAATTTTATCAATAAACTGGCTTTCCTTTCAATTTTATCAATAAATTGACCCTCTTTGCAATTTTGTCAATAAACTAGTTCACCTTTCAATTTTATCAATAAATTAGCTCTCCATTCAATTTTGTCAATAAATTAGCTCTCCTATCAATGTTGTCAATAAATTGGCTCTCGATTCAATTTTATGAATAAATTAGCTCTCCATTCAATTTTATCAATAAATTAGCTCTCCATTCAATTTTTGTCAATAAATTGGCTCTCCTATCGATTTTGTCAATAAATTGGCTCTCCTATCAATTTTGTCAATAAATTGGCTCTCCTTTTAATTTTATCAATAAATTGGCTCTCCATTCAATTTTGTCAATAAATTAGCTATCCTTTCAAATTTTGTCAATAAATTGGCTCTCCTATCGATTTTGTCAATAAATTGGCTCTCCTATCAATTTTGTCAATAAATTGGCTCTCCTTTTAATTTTGTCAATAAATTGGCTCCCATGTCCTGAATGTCCGAATAGAATTTTCATGAAAATATTCGTCGTCGCTCGACGAATTCGAACGCCTTATCCGATCGGTCACCGATCGGATTTTACGTCTGCGTAAATGATATTCCGATCGGTGCAGGTTCGAATCCCGTCAAAGGACGAATATTTTCATGAAAATTTCTGACATTCAGGCCGGTAAATGTTATTTACTGTTTATCATAAACTGAGCATTTACTTAAATACTTGTATCTATAAAAAACAACGTTAAACATAAAAATGTCTTTAATAAATAAATTGCCGGACTTTGTCCATTTCTTAATATATAAATTGGCTCTCCTTCAATTTTGTCAATAAATTGGCACTTCTATTGATTTTATCAATAAATTGGCTCTCCATTCAACTTTATCAATAAATTACCTATCCTTTCAATTTTGTCAATAAATTACCTATCCTTTCAAGTTTGTCAATAAATTGGCTCTCCTTTCAATTTTGTCAATAAATTGGCTCTCCTTTCAATTCTATCAATAAATTGGCTCTCCATTCAATTTTGTCAATAAATTGTTTCTCTATTTAATTTTGTCAATAAATTGACTCTCCTGGTCCCCAAACGACCCCCTGCAGGTTTTATATTCAGAGTTATCCTTCTCCTAGACCTGTTGCCATCCAAGGCTATAGAAATCAGTCTGTCCTGCTATTTAACCATAACTAGAGGGAGAAGCAAAGGATTAATACCTTTCCCAAATGGATTGACACGTAAGTGAATGTAATGAATTCGACTAGAATTCAAACTCTGCTCTCCGATCCCTCAATACGAGCCTATATCCACTACTCCATTCCTCAAGTAAATTATATATGCATTTAGTGAATTATCTATCAATATACCTATCTCAGATTTCATACTTTCTATTCACTGAATGCCTTTAAACAGACCACATATTTGTTAGACATTACTACATTGCCTAATTTTAAAATATGCGATAACCTTGGGTTGTTCTTGCTGCTTACTGCGATTACCACACCCAAAACCAGAACATTCTATTCAGCTCCATTTTTACATACCTTGAAATCATTATTTCTGTTCTTGACCTCACACCATCTTTCCATTAATCTAACACAGCGTTGAAGTTGCGTTATTTTTGGATTATCTATACGATTCATTCTTTTTGCATATATATTTTTACTTTTTGTATATTCTTTCTTACAGTTTTTGTCCGCTTTTCAAAATTCTTGACGCAATTTTTTATCTACCTATCATTATCGCTTTTATTACAGATTGCTTTCTCCATAATTTATCCAGTATTGCATAACGCAGATGCCTGACGCATATCTAGCACCCCCGATAACTTACCTCACTCCCTCGGACATACCCAGAATAATTATCACTATCCCTCGCAATATAGTCATCTCGATTCGCACCCAGAAGTATATATATTCATAAAATAAATAAATAATAACTCCCGCTAAAAATCTATCAAAAATCGCCCAATGACTAACCAACTGTAGAACGGTCAAGAGAGTTTCTCAGGTTCGATTACAGTAATGTTAGCCCATACGTAATTGCCACGTCTTTACACTTTACGGCCATTGATTGGTCGAAACAATAACGCTGACTCACGGTGCACTAAGCAACCTTCGGAATTTACATCCTGGTTTGTGAAATTTTCCGACATTTTGCATGCGTCACGAATTATTTTCCGCAATTAAAACAACAGGAAGAGCAAGGGTCAATAATTCGTTTTTTTGTTTTTTGTTTTTTGATAATTTTTTTAATCGCCGAACAATTTTATTTTCATTAATTTTTAATCAATCAACATTAGGTCGATTGGATGCAACAATTTTCCGCTTGATACGACGACATGTTGAAAAATTCGAACATCAACTAAAAGTCCGTTTGGAATAAAAAAAAAAATGCTTGAATATTTGTTACGATTTTAAGTGGTAGAATTGAACCGAGAGATTTTTGTCCCGATCAAGCAAATATCAATATTTCAATACTATCCTTGTTCGGCAGGCATTTTGTCAATAGTTTAGAATCCTGGCTTTATACTTCAACGGTTTTATCAAATAACATCTCATTTTAGGGAAATTAGTTAACTAAATAGTTAATTAAACTGGTGGATAAATGATGAAGACATGTTCACTAACTTTGATCACCAGAAAGCAGTAATGTCAGTTTGAAATCCCAGGAAAAATTGAAACCATTCAGGCGATATCATTACTAAAATCCTATAATACTGAGGAAGGTGCTGTATTACTGAGAACATTTGCTGCTACTCGTTTGCTAACGATGGCCACCGGAAAGCACTCATGTGAATTGGGAATCCTAGAAAAAATTGATACAATGCAGACGACAGCATTACTGAATTCAGTAATAATACTAAGGAATGTGCTGTAGTATTCAGGATACTTATTATCACTCGTTCACCAGTGATGGCAACAAGAAAGTTCTGGTGTGAATTGGAAATTATAAAATGAATTGAAACCAGTCAGACGATAGCATTATTAAAATCAGTAAGCCTATTGTGGAAGGTGCAGGAATATGAAGGAAAATTATTGTCATTCCTTCACCAACAATGAACATCAGAAAGAACTAATGTGAATTGGAAATCAAGAGATAATCGAAATCGTCTCGACGACAGCCTTTACTAAAATCAGCCGGAAGTGACTGTAGATCCGAGGTGAATTTGTTGTCACTCCTTCATAAAAAGGAGACCACCAGAAAGCTCTGATTTGAATTGAAAATCCGATGAAGAATCGAAATCACCTAGACGACAGCATTACTAAAATCATCAAAAATACCGAGGAAGGTGCTAGATTAAATGAAGAGACTTCTTTTTTAAGCGTTTCACCCCAAGCAAGGCGTGAAGCGACTAGGACGCAAGGCTTACAGAAGATTTGGAGCAAGATCAGATAGGAGTGATAGGTGGAAAGGATGACGGGAAGGATAGTGGATAGATCAAGTCAACTGGAGATGTCGATTGACATTACATTTAAATAGTTGGAAATTATAGCTCTCAGGGAAACAGGAATAGGGAAGGGAGTTCCACAGGCGAGAGGCGCGAGATATGAAACTATTGGAGTAGAATAGACGACCACATTTTATAATTTCGACAGTGAAAGGGTGAGAGTGGGATGCCAGCCTAGTAGGGCGCTTGAACTCATGAAGTCTGGGAACCAGCGAATGCAGCTCCTCGGAGCAATTACCATGAAAGTATTTGTAAAATAGACAGAGAGAGGCAACGGCGCGTCTGTGAGAAAGTGACTGTAGACGAGATGCCAGAACAGGGCCAATTATATTGCATACCCGCCTCTGGATTTTATCAAGAACCCCGAGGCAAACCGAAGGAGTTCCAGACCATATATGGCAGCAATGCACAATGCAAGGGCGAATTGTTGATTTGTAGATCTGAAGGATCGATTCCGGGGAGAAAAATTTCCTGGCACGGCACAGGGAGCCAACTTTCCTTCCGGTGGAGCCAACTTTCCTTCCGGTGGAGCCAACTTTCCTTGTTATCAATTTTATTTCAGCAAGAGCCGTGACCAACCGAAAGCTTTTTATATGAACTGGAATTCGGGCTAGAATTGAAACTGTCTATACGCCATCATTATTGAAATTCGTTAGAAATATACATAACGGCAACTCGACATTTGGAAC